GGCCAACTTTGGACATCTAAGTAGAAAAGTTCATTGTAACTTTTTTTTATGTCAATCTATCAGACACTTAAGAGGCTGTGGGTGGATGAGTGGGTGGATGAGTGGTTATCTGACGATCATAAGGTTGGTGGCTTCCCCGACCAAGTGTCTTTGAGCAAGACACTGAATTGCGAGTTGTTCCAAATCAGCACATAGGTTAGAGAGTGTGTGTACACTGGTGATTTGAAAGGGCTTTCAGGGGTCAAGGAGACTGGAAAAACACTATAGAGATGCTGTCTAGATTGGCATGTTCTATCATACGATACATGTAAAGCTGCATGAACAGGAAACATCTCTTTGGGTTCTCTGTAACTCAAAAACAGAGAAGCTGATGGTTAAAAGGTTAACTCAAGACTTGATGTGGTAGATGAACCAAAACATATGGTATCATTCCTTTACGAGGGAATGGTGTTTGATGAAAACACTAGTTTTTTATGTATTGTATCCACATGGAAACAATTCAAATGAAAACAGCATATTAGAAGTTCCAAAGTGATATTTCATGTAAATGGGGGGAAAGACTCTTGAAACACCACTGTTGCATATTCATGATGGACAAAATGCAACCTACCCAAGGGTAGGTTATTCTTCTTTTGTATTTACAATTAACAGTGTGTAAGCTCATGCTCCACGCCTTGTTTCCTGTTTTTGGTCGTGAAAGCATTACAGCGTTAAATATAGGCTAGGCATGGTTACTGCAGCCTTTGGGGTCATTTTCAGTGTTTTTGTGTGGATGCAGACGTTACTAGAAACTGATATTTTTCAGAAAAAATACATTAAAAGATTGTTGTGACATAGGCCTTTGTCCATCCTTGATATAGAATTAATCTGAAAAATATCCCAGCTTTTACAATTTAAGAGCCATTGTGTTTGTGGACCACAGGTCAACTTTTTGATGGCAATTTAAACAGAATAAAGCTCCACAACCCTTTTAAAGAGGGGAATAAAAATACTGGTTGGAAATGGAAGTAGAACAGGACCTGGAGGTTTTCTCTGCCTGGAGCAGGTGGGTTCACATCACTCATCACCCCTTTAGCCTGAAAACTCCTCCACTGGGAATCACAGCCGGAGGGTGGATGTAATACACCAATTTAGAGCAAAGCTTCTTAATTTACCCCCCACGTCCACCTCCTCCATTTCATTCTCTTCCCTCTTTCTGCCCCGCACCACCACCATTCTCCAACCACTCCTGTTTTTATTGCCTTTTTGGTCCAGTTACTCCTGCATGGCACATTACCAGATCTATCTGGTGTTTTGATTGCGTTTAGCGTGCAGACACACACACACACACACACAACTGCAAGCTCACTCTGACCCTCTCCCTCCCACCCCAGCACTTCTTTTTTTTTTTTTCTTGTGGTAATTTTCTCCAACATTTTAGAACTTAGCAGCCAGTCATCTCACTTCAGCTGAAGTTTCAGCTTCACATTTATATTGTATTTGTTCCGTTATAATAACAACAGTAAATACAGATTCTTCTTTGCATCCTTTATAAAAATCAACCCTTTTAGCATGGTACATGATGATCTAGAATAATTATAAAGAGTTGCATTTCTGATACGCCCCCAGAAGCAGTCAGAAGGGGGCAAAAGTGCCAAGAGTAGGTTGGATGTTTTTAATAATCTGTGAGCAGCCAAGGGTGCAGTTGTTCCATGCATGAACCTGTTTTTTCTTTCAGTAAAGAACAGCACCAGCTAATGATCATTAATTACTCAAGAACTTTGGTACAGCTGAACTACAAAGACGTGATGATCACTCTACTTGTTGCGGCTTGAAGTGAGGTAAAGATTTATGTAATCTTATGGAAGGATTCTAGTCAGCAGGGCTAATTTTAGACCTATGCAGATTTTTACGGTCCTTGGCGATAAGACTGAACATGACCAGACCGACGCTCTGAATGGAATATGTCTGAGCATGTCTGTGCTGGAATGTATTCTGTAAGGCGGGTTTAAAAGCACAAGTGGAGAATTGTGCTATAGTATATGTACCACTTCTGTTGTTCTGAGCCACCGCTGAAATCTCTTTACCTCTAAAGTGACATAACTACATCTTGGCTTGTAAAGGGTGACTCTGAGAGTGCGTTCCAGCTGGATTGAATAACTCTAAAGCACATGGTTCAAGTCAAACAGCCTATTGCACACAGACAGGTGCACCTTAATCCTATTTTATTCTGACACTCAAAGGGTTTTGTAAATTTCCAGGCTGCAACAGCTTCCCCACTGACTGAAATCAAGAATCCCTGCATCATAAATGCAGGAGAACTTGTTTCAGTCTGTAGATCATTAGTTTCTATGACACTTTATGGTTTCAGGTGCATCATTCTCTCCCACAGGTGGAGACAAAATACCTGAATCGCTTGACGTCTGAAAAGGCACAGTCATAAGAGAACAATGTTAAAAATAAAACATGTGATCTTGAAATTTAATTACAAGAAATAATCCAACTATAGAAGCTATAGCAGACAGCACATTTAATCCTGTTTGTTTAAGAACTAGGATGTTTGTTTCTATCCTCGGCCTATCCTTTCCCTGGTTATAAACGATCTAAGTTGATAACAGTGTTATTGTCGGTCATCTTAACCTACTTCTCGCGGGGTTAATGGATGGCTGACTAATATGAAGAAGAATGACGTAGTTGAGATCGTTCTAGAAAAACCCAGGGGAGTTACCAGGATTTGTTTAGCAAATCTCTTCAGCAGACGTGCCCTTGCTGCTTGAAACTGTAGGTGCTCAAACTTTAAAAGTCTCCAAGAGAGAAAAGGAGCCTAAGTGGTGCTCTGGAACAGTCCTGTTGCAGAGCCTGCATGTCAAAATGATTGGCTGTTTTTTTAGTTTTCTGCTTTCATGAAGTTTTGTTGCTAAAACTTAGCTTGTGAAATACAGACCTAAAAAGCGTTTGCGATTGATGAGCTAACAGTTAGCATGAGCAAGTCTAAGACTAAAGTGTATTGCTGATTTTAAAATACGTCTAATCTTAAAAGATTTTGCGTGAACACTATTTTATAAACTTTCACTGTGATGTCAATTTCCGATTTTACAGTTATTCTACGAGAGGTGGCAACAAAGGTCAAAGGAAAAGTTTACAATGCAGTGATGAGACCAGCTATGTTGTACAGTTTGGAGACAGTGACGTTGACAAAAAGACATGAGACAGAACTGGAAGTGGCACAAATGAAGATGTTGAGTGACAAGGATGGATAAGATTAGGAATGAGATCGTCAGAGAAACAGCACAGGTTGAACAACTGGAAGATAAAGTTACAAAGGCCAGACTGAAATGGTTTGGACATGTCCAGAGGAGGGACAGTGGGTATATTGGTAGAAGGATTTTAGAAATGCAGCTGCCAGGAAAAATAAAGAGGATATTTATGGATGCAGTTAGAGAGGACATGGAGGTAGTTGGAGTGAGGACAGAGGACGTACAGGACAGAATGTGATGGACGAGGATGGCTCGCTGTTGTAACCCGAAATGGGAACAGCCGACAGAAGAAGTTATTCTAGAAGAAATATTATGATATTCCTGCTGAAAGTGCTTCAGCTAGCTGCTACTGCTGGTATTTGCACTTCCAAATAACTATTTTTGTTAGGTTTAAGACGGTAACCGATAAGACTTTGATCTTGGTACGTTCAGACTTGTCATTAGCTCGATAGTGCCGTCAGAATGAAACTATTTCTCCAATATGACACAGCTTGATTGAACACTTCATCCTGAAGAATCTGAACTGAAACGCAGCACAAAGCTTTGTGTTTAGAGAAGGCCGGTCCTGAAAAGAAAGTCTTCCTAGAGGGCACAGGTTGTGAGCTCCACCTCAGATTTATAGACCAGGGCATGAGTAACACTAAACCACGGACATGCCCAGAATTCCTAGAGTAATAAGCCCGCATGGTGACAGTAAACCCGGCCTTGACTTGCAGGGGGCTCCACACAAAACCTTCACTGAAGCGTATCACATAACTGAACTTGAGAAGGCCTGATAAAATATGGCCCAACACCCTATGGGACTAAGATTTCAGCTTCGAACGAGTGTTAATCTCTGATCTTTGACCTTTTGTGCCAACCTCCTGCTCTTTTTTCACAGCTACCATTTGTTGTTGACCAGATCAATGCCTTTAAAAAGAAGCTTTACTCAAACCCAGGGCCACCCAGTTGTTATGTAACCCCCCCCCCCCCCCCCATGCAAGGATCAACAACCTTGGCAGCTGCCTACCTGCCCTATAAGGGACTAACTCGTTGCCAAGGTTTGCATAACAAATGGGAAGGAGGCCAAAGCTTTGTCCTTATGTGTGAATCGAACATTTAACTTGTACACCACAGCAGAGTTGTAATTTAATCTCAATCTCACAAGAACCGCTAAACCACGGTTGTGTTTCGGAGTTTAAAAATAAAGAAAAACCCTACCAGAGTCCACATTTTCCCACACTGCTTCCCAGTGAAATCATTCTGTTTACAGTCAGTCCATTAATAGATGAGCTGCTGCTCAGTAGCTGTCTTATGTAATTGTATCAGTCTGAGCATTTTCAGACAGGTTTGCAACACTTAAAATAGGCCACCTCCTTTCCAGACAAACCTGTTCCGTCTGTTTTGCTCCACTTCAAGCCCTGAAGCCACAGCATGCTTCATCAAGGTGCATGAAGATACTGCAAAACGATTCTGACACAGATCACGAGAGCAGTTCGCAAACCTTCACAATCATGTGTGCATGGAATATTCCATCTCATGCACAAGAAAAACGTATAATGTGGGTGCACCTTTCCCTCATTTTTCTTCTGATTATCGCTCGGTAATTTTAATTAGTATGATAATGAGGCATAATGTGCGCCACATTTCCCAAACACAAGCTGTAAATCAGGGGAGACATGGCAGTGTGAGCGTGACTGCCTGTTTCTGGAAGCCACATGCTTTTTGTTTTTGTTTTTGTGGAGGAAGGAGGGGGGGCGGGCTGCTGCATGGAGAGGTTCTTACCTTCCATCCTGCAGAGCTGTTGCTGTCACCTTTGTCCTTGAAGTAAGGGATGGATCGGACCATCCAGTCGTAGATCTGGGACAGGGTCAGTCTCTTCTCCGGTGAGCTCTCGATGGCTTTGGTGATCAGGTCCGCGTAGGACAGATTCCCCCAGGCGTTGCGACGGGAGGACGCTTTCCTCGGGGTCTGCGCGGCGGCCAAGCTGCCGGGAGTCAGAGCGCCCAAGGCGGCCGGAGGGGAGTGCGCGGAGAGCGGGGAGCCTCCGCTGTCCTGACCGGGGGAAGCGAACGGTCCGTCGGCGACGGGGCTGCCGCTGCCGCTCTGGTCCTCCGCAGCCGCCCCGGAGCCACGGACACGGATGCCCGCGGCGCCCTCATCATCATCCTCCTCCTCCGGGATGATGTCGTTGTTCTCCGGTTTCACCGCGCTCGAATCCGGTCGCGGCAGCGGCCAGGTGCACGACCTGGGCCGCTTCTGGGGCTCGAAGTCCGGGTCGATGACCACGTTCAGGTCCGGGAGTGCGTCTGGGAGCGAAGCCTCCGCCATGACGACGAACGACGATGATGATGGGTGATGATGATGATGATGATGATCTCCAGACACGGTCGGCCGCTGAGAAACTTACAAGACTGGAGACTGAGGAGCTGTCAAAGTCGCGTCCCCATGAACGCGCGCGCACGTCCTTTTTGTTGCTGCTCAACAGCAGCCAAGTCCCACGAGCCACTTTGTAATGAACGCCTGTTGAGGAGATAAAAGTAACGTGCATGTGGTTCAAACTGAGCAAAATCTGGAAGCACAACACAAATCTTCAAAAGCATAAAAAAAAGATCTGAATCCGCCCACTGGCGAACATAAGTCTCAGAGAAATACACCCCCCCTCCCCTGAAGATCTACTTTAAATGAATTACCTTACTCAGAGGCAACACAAAGACAAGCACGGATCAGATCCGGGACGGTCCACCTCCACGCGCACATGCCATGTTGTCTTTCCACGCCGCTCCGACACATGAAGACGAATAAAGATAAAGATGCGCGCGTGAGCAGGTCGATGTGGATTAAGACGGACTGCCACCTCACTCTGCGTTTACTACTCTCACACACGAATAGACGCGCTCTTACGCACGCACACACACTGTACGCATGCGACTCGATCAAGGACCTGCCTCCCCCCCCCCCCCCCCCCCCCCCTGGATCCTGCGCATGGGATCGCCTTTTAAAGAGACACAGCAGCTGTGATGGAGGCAGGTGGAGGCGCGGACACGTCCAGACATGCTGCAGACACCAAGCAGAAGTTAAAAAAGATAATAAAAAAATAAATGTTCAGAGAGTTTTTAGTTTATTTGGTATTTCACGTTTTAGTTTCAGTTTATTGTTATGACTAGACACAAACCTGTCACTATATTTAGCCATTAGGTATCTCGAGTCTGTTAGCAAAATATCTCATAAACAGCTTGACGGATTTTAATGAAACTTTCAAAAATTAATCAATGCATGCACTTCTACAAGTTTTTTAACATTTGGACCCAATGTGATTCAAGACTGCCGCCACAGCCGGCTGAACCTAAAAAACACAAACGTAGATATAAGTTATTAATTTGTACAGGCATTGAGATAAAGTTTGGCAACCTTGAAGCTGAGAGTCATTCGCAACACAAATTAATTCATTACACATTGTGCAAGATTTTAACTTAAAACTTGAGCATTAGCTATAAGACTCAATAAACTCTGTTTGTTTGTTAGCAAAATATTTCATGAACCACTGGACATATTTTAATGAAACTTTTAGGAAATAATCAATTAACTCAAATGTACAAAGGCTTATATTTTGAGGTAGCTCCAATTATAGATGAAGTCCAGAGTTAATAAAATAACTAACATAAAGATGCTGATATTGAGCTAAAGTTTGATGTGGCGGTAGTTGAGAGTCATTCCCAACACATACTCTGAGCACTCTAAGATTGTAAGTAATTTTCAAAAGTTTGACCATAACAGCTATAACTTTATTGTTTGTCAAGATGATTAGTCTCAAACGCTGGCATGAAAAGCAACATTCATCTATTTGACGATTGTTAGGTCGTTCATTGTTACTATTTAGCTTTATAAAGACATATCCAAATTTTTAGCTCATCCTTACTCCCAAAATTATTTTTTTCTAATCTTAAACATATAAAATAGTGTTTAATTTCATAAATAAACTGTGTACTTCAGCTCACCTGTCAGTGCTTCTAAATCTATTAGCTGAATGTAAAACTGCATTAAATTGACAAAAAAGCTTTAAAAAGACCTGCATATATATATATATATATATATATATATATATATAT